TATTATGATTGCATTTGTCAACTGAGAGTGTCCAACCATGTAGCAATTATCATAGTAAGATGAGAGGTTTTCATAAACTATCTCCTGCCAAAGACTTTCACGTCCATATCCAATCCAAATCCGAGAGGAGTGTGCCCGACATGACTAATAACCAAATCTGAACCATTGCCGATTTGTACTTGATCTGTACCACTATAATCCATCGGAGATTGCAGATTATTGATGTTTGGTGTCATGTGATTCATAGCTCCTGAATCAGGATATCAATTCGTATCAAAACCTTACAAAACAGAGTTTGTGTTGGCATGATGAGCTTGCATGGGACTATTCACTATTCGCCATGATAAGAGATATCAAAGCGCTTCCGACATGTGAGAACCATGTGTCTTAGGCGATTGCAAAGTTGGCAAACCAGCCCATTATTTGCTATGGTCACCATGAAATGTGTTTGGTCCTCGAATTCGACCACCATCCCCCCTCTGTTATTATTATGATTGGACCCTCGTCCACCATTATTGTTATTAAAGCCTCGGCCATTGTAGTTATTAGAAGGGGGACAAATGACTCATATTCTAGCCCTAAGCCGACAAGAATATAAAGAACCATGTTGGTATCGGAGACCAATTCAGAAACTGTAACAAGACAATCAGCATAACCTTTAGCTTTTTTATGTATTCATGAGTAGAACTTGCACCTTTTTTCACTGTTTGAAGTTACAGATGAAGTTAAAGAACCCATGCTTGAGAGGATGAGCCATATATGCGGCCTAGAGCACGCTAGACAGTTGCACCAGTTGGCAACCCAATGACTTGGGGTATCACACTTTTGGAGAGAGATGAGATGATCCAACTCAACACAAGTTGATGAAAATGCCTCCAGGTTATAGCTAGTGGATTGTTGACCTTCCTCGTGGGATCATTAGGATTGGGAATCTTAGTCGGTGGACACACCCTGGACCCGTCAACAAGACACATTAAATCATGAGTATTGAAGATAGGAAAAAACTGAGCTAGCCAAATACCGTAATTGTCAGCGATTAACTTGATGGGCAGATAGTGAGTCACATTGGGCATATCGGCTATGGAAGAGATGAGAAAGGCTGGTAGACTCTTATTGGAAGCATCCGAGGTTTCTGTTGCTGCTGAGAGAGATGGAGACTTCGCTTGACCACTGGAAGCCATCCTAAGCTCTGATACCATGAAACTGAAATACAAAGATATGGGAGAATGGGTTCAACACACACTGGTGTGATACCCGTATCATGTATTTATACATGTATGAAGATATGGATTACAATGGTGATAAGAGATAAGAGTACAAGAGTTTTAGATAATCTAAAATACATGTGAATGAGTCCATCATGAGTCTGGGTTGTTGCGAGGATAATCGTTATCTCACTTAGAGATGATAACCCCGGTTGTTGAAGTTCTAAAAAGCATAACAGGGGCATGATCAAACTTAATAACAAATCCAATCGCCATGGCGATTGATCTAAGAAGATTTTCCACAAAGAATTTAACTGGAAAGGAAGGGAACGATATGTGATATCCAAACTGGGATAATCGATGACTCCATCCATGTTCAAAGTCTGGGACCCATTTGAACAGTCTAAAAAGTGAAAAAACTTGATTTAAAAAAAAAAAAAAACTCATGGCAAACATAGTTTTTGAAAATCATTCTCATGAGAAAAATGAATCAAAACATGCTTTGGATCTAGGGCAGTAACCCAGACCTCATTATGTGGGCGAAAAGTTTTTCCAAGGAAATCTTTGATCTCTTGTAAAGAGGGGCAGCCATGCATTGATGCATACATTTCCCAACTAATGTCCATTTGAGAAATACATACAAATTCTACGGTACTTCATCAAGGAAAAATTGCTGGTTCTCCTTATTTAAAACTAGACTGAATCACAAGAACATCAATGCTAGGTTTAGAGAGAGGAGAGAATAAAGGCAAATAATAGTTTCGATGATGGAGGGTGATCACACGTGGAGATTACCATTGGATAAGAGCACCTAGGATTTCACAATCTTCTATTCTAATAGGTCATGAGAATCAAAGAAGATCATCATTTCCTTGGAAGGTTAGAAGATGAGGGTGCTTTAGGATTTTTAGGACATGGAGGTGCTGCTCATGTTGTAAAAAAATTGTTGGCTGGCGTTGTTTAAGACTAGACTGAATCACAAGAATATCAATGCTGGGTTTAGAGAGAGGAGCAAGACGAGAGATAATAGAGGCAAATGATGGTTTGGATGGAGGGTAATCACTCATGGAGATCACCATTGGAGAAGAGCACCTAAGATTAGAATCCATTCTCTACCACAGTTCATTTGCTTCACCTCTAAACTTGAGAAAGGATATTCACTTAGATTGGAGCTTACAAGATTGGTTATCCTATTGGGCAAAGAGGGATAATCCTTTAGCTAAGGATTAATCCATCTCATTGGTAGCATGTAGTGCAATAGTTTTGTGGACTATATATATGGAAATCACATTGCAAATTGGTAATGAAGAATACTCACTTTGATCAAATTTCTTTTATCAATACCACAATCAGTGTCATAGCCTAATCCTAATGTTTGGGTATACCCTCCTCTAAATTGGTTGAAAATAAACTTTGATAGGGTTGTTTCCTCTTCTCAAGCTGAAGTTGGGGTAAGTATAAAGGATCATAAGGGGCATCTGCCAAATCTGTAAATCTATCGTTATGCTCTCTTGATGTGTGTGAAGCTTATGCTCTTCAAGAAACTCTTTTGTTGGTATTGTAAATGAAGTTAGATTTCATTGTGATCAAGGGATACACTAAAAACTTGGTTGGAGGATTCTCATTCACCATCCTAGTAGATTAGCACTACTCTTGTTGACTGCAAAGAGATGTTATCTCGTCTCCCAACTTATTAGTGGTTTTTGTGCAAAGGTCTTTTGACAAGGTGGTTCATAAGCTGGCCAAGTATGCTTTTAACTCTAAGACGACCATTTAGTGGTCGGTCCTTCCTTCTTTCCTTAGAGGCCTTATGCTCTGATATTTCCATGGAATAGTCTTAATGAAATTTTGCCTGAAAGCATAATGAAAAAAAGTGAGGTAATAGAATATGTTTCACTAATGGATGTGATATTTGGTCATTTGCGCATGATGACCAAATATGTTTCACTAATGGAAAACCTACTTATGTCAAGTGAGACCATCCCATAGGATATAATTAAAGAAATTTTGAAAACCATATGGTATATTTGAATAGTTGGAATCTAGTTTGGCCACATTCACCCAACCACACATTGCAAACATGATATTTTGTACTTTATATCACCAATATTCTCAATGTGCAGTTGGATGAATATGGCCAACGATGTTTTGTGGTCAGCAAATCTGACCTCATATTTTAGTAGTATTGTGAAACCACAGGGTATGTTTATGTAATTAATCCAGAAATTGATTTCAACATTGAAGTTTAAAATAGACTTAAATATGCCCTAAAGTTTCTGAAATTGATTTCAAAATTGAAGTTTAAAATAGATGTAAATGTACCTTGAGGAGTGACTCCACTAGACTTAAATATATCTTGTGAACTAATTTAAAATTTTTTTAAGTATTATTTTGCCCTTTTATGTCCTTTAACAAATAAAAAAAAATGAGAGCTTTGATCATTTTGCCCCCATCGATTATGATCATTGTTGGATGCTTTGATTCTTCCATGGAGTTTCAGAAGTTGTCTTCAAAGCATTAGACACTCAATTGGTTAATAGCAACTACGATTCTTTCATGGATCTCAACAATCCATCTTAGAAAAGGCTTCAAATTGAAGGTAAGAACCAAACAAGCTAGCATAACCAAGAAGAGCAGTGCCTTAAGAGAACCCTGAACATACCTTTCTTTACTCCAAGGATGAGCACCCTAAAAATATTCAAACCAAATAAGTAATAAGCACCCATAAAATCTCTGCAATCCAAAAAAGGGGGAAAGGTGTCCGTGGAGGAAAAATAGCAACATAGTTTAGATTTATTAGTGTTTGGATGGAGTGGAATTTTACATCATAAATCAATTAAAACCTCATCAAATTTAAAATTTTACATTGATTATGGATATAGATATTACATCAATAAAATTGATGTAAAACTACACACTTCTAAATTCATGATTTTCAAAATTAACAATCATTTTTTTATGATTAGGTATAAAACATGATCAATGTACTTTTACACTGATACGTTTTACATTCATCTCAAATTATAGACAAAGCTCCATCAATGATGGTATTATGGGCATTCTATAATGATTCTTCATGTAAGTCGGAGACCACGTGGCGGAACAAGGCTCCTCAGCACCGGCCTCATCATCAAGGCCGGGGAGAAATCTTGGGAATACCCTTGGAGGCCTTGAAAAGACGAGAGACTGGCCTCCTAGGTGGCCATGTGTGGGATGCAAATTGGTACAGATAATATTTGTCCTATCATCATTTATTTGGTTCTTTTTAAAAATTTAAAAGAAAATGAAGAAATAAAAAAAAAATCACAAAGGTATACTTATTTTCATTTTAATAACAAGCGGCCCTAAGCCTTTAAATAATCTATAGATCAGATCAAGCTGAATTTGTTTCTAACTTCCATTACAAAAAGAAAATTAACAAATAATAARAAACGTTACATCGTACAGGGTGGATTCAGGTAATTGACCTGAATAGAAAAAACTATATTTCCTTTCCACCATCACCACCATTGAAATCAACACGCGTCGGCATAAACTATAATCTTGTATAAACATTTCATTTTAAAATGAAATTATTGAATGCTTGCATTGCACGCCACTCTTAAGAACTTACCCTCCACGTTCTATTTTCTATCAAACCAAACAGTGCCTAAGTTGCATTTCCCATGCCATTTCTTTTATTAATTAGTTACAGTTTGAACGCGAGAAGATGGCATTTGAAAAAAAAAAAAGTTCTGACTTGGGCTGATGCAGACAGAAGAAATAACCTAGAGCTATGAACGTTTGACCAACCATGTTCTCATTAATTGAATCGATAGTACAACCTTGATATATAGCGAGGAACAAGATACCAGTTCTCTCTGTGTTTGAGGAACCTGCTACTGGGCTCAAATTTCCATCCCTGCTCTCTGGAAAGCTGGTATTATTCCTTTCTCTGGATATGGCCAAGAAGGTTATGCATGCTGTTCGATACGAAGGCTATTGTGATGGAGCCACTGGTTTACGGGTGAATATATATTAAATTCCTTTCTCTTTTGGCCTTTTTCATGTTTAAGTTTTATTGGGTTTTGTTTCTGTTGCTTTGGTTTTTTAAGTGTGCATGTTAATGTCTATTAATTTGGATTGAGCATTTATGTTTATTGCATAAGCTAGATAAACTCTAATGGCTGATAATGAGAATAGGTTGAATGAAGAAACATACATATTTAATAAAAACAAAGAGAGAGAGAGAGAGAGAGAATGATGATGTAGAGGAACGTTTGAAAAGAAAATTTTTAAATTACAAAGTTGAATCGAAATTACAGATACACCGTTAAAAGCTAAAGATCGATTTGATATTTAGCATTTAAGAGTTTTATGGTGTGTATAGGAGGAGCTTATCATGAACAAGACAAAGAATATAATGTTTGGATAAACTTTTGCTTTTGAGCTTTTGGCAGTGGAAAACAGCGTTTTGCTAAACTGGTTTTTTTGAGCATTTGGTAGGGGTAGGAGTACTCGCTTTTGAAAACATTATTATCTCAAGCCAAACACTTTTAAGCCCCATGGCCATTTATTTTTATTGATATAAAAAGATTGCTTGATATATGGCAGCTGATTGGGATGATTTCTAATGCATGTTTTGAATTAACTGCATCCTTTTAGCTCATTACTTGAACATTTATATTTGAAGTGATTTGAGAAAAGAAGAGCATATTGGAATGAATTCTTTTATTAGGTTGTTATATTAGAAGATCARCTTCCCTCAGTGCAAGACCCGTTCGAACAGCTAGTCTTATATTGGGAATATCTCTGTAAGTTATGTGCTTTATTTAATGGGGAGATATTCCTAATGCAAGGCTATAAAGACAGCTCGAACAGGCCTTGCACTGACTGAATCCGGTTTCTTATATTAGAAGTTATTTTTCACATTAATAGCAYTATTTTGGATACTTCATAAGATAGTRCAAAAAGACTGACCCTGTGAATGAGATTTGGTGGTCTTTTAACTGATGTTAATCCATTACATCCTGCTTTTGTTGTAGTACGCGGAAGTTCCAGTTCCTTCTCCAAAGAAAGATGAAGTTTTGTTAAGGATGGAAGCAGCAAGTCTAAATCCTGCTGATTACAAAATTAAGAAAGGCATGGCGCGACCATTTTTGCCATGCAAGTTCCCATTCGTACCTGGTATGTCTAGAAGATTTTATGTTTGTATACTGTCATTGAATTATTCATCTTGGCATGGTGTTATATATCTTTGTATTCCATGCATCCTATTTCAAATTGTTGAATCTCTAGTACTCTGATATGCTAAGGCCATGTTTAGGAGTGTTTAAGTTAGAAATAAATGCCTATTGAATAAGTGCTTGTTCAAATAAGCACTTATTTGCCTTTGGCACCCAACTTTTTCAAGTGTATTTTTTAAAATAAGCACTTATTTTATATTGTGCGTTTGATAGTCTTTTTCTCTAATAAGCATTTAAAACTATTTTGTCCTTCATTTTTTTTCAAATTTTCAAAATACTCTCTGAATTTATGAAAGCACTTTTACAAAAGTACTTTAATGAAAGCACTTTTAAGAAAGTATTTTTATGAAAGCATTTTTACAAAAAACACTTTTATAAAAGTACTTTCATAAAAGTGCTTTCGTAGAAATGCTTTCATAAAAGTACTTTCGTAAAAGTGCTTTTATAAAAGTGCCTTCATAAAAGTACTTTCATAAAAGTACTTTCATAGAAGTGCTTTCGTAAAAGTGCTTTCATAAAAGTGTTTTAAAAGTATTTTTGTAAAAGTGCTTTCATAAAAATACTTTTATAAAAGTGCTTTCATAAAAATACTTTTGTAAAAGTGCTTTCATAAAAATACTTTTATAAAAGTGTTTTCGTAAAAGTTCTTTCATAAAATTCAACCAGGGATAATTTTATAAGTGGTATTTTAAAATTCAACTAGGGATAATTTTGGAAGAAAAAAAATTGAATAAGTGCTTATAGTATAAGCACTTAAAAAAACTGGAAACTTGGGGGAGCCTGGTATTTAATTCAAGGTTCTTTACCTTGATCTCCTTAATAAAGTTGTGAAATATATATATATATATATATATATATATATATCTTATTCATGGTATTGCCCAGAATTTTCCATAATGCCTTTCTAAACTTTATTTAATGTTATTGTAAGATTTGTTTTGAAACATAAATGTCAAATTCCATTCTTCAATCCATATCACCTAAGATGATTATCCCAATTACGGGGTTGGCTACATGAATTCTGTTTCGGTATATATTCAGTTCTATTGCCATTTTCATTGTTAAATTACGAGTACTTAAATCATTTCCTACATATATCCTTATTTTCTTGGACAAACAAGACAACATTTTGAACTAATTTGTTACTTTGTTAGAGTGAAGTAGTGTCATCTTGACTTGATTCAAAATTTCAGGAGTTGCTTGCTTTCAGACTCGGTTTTTTAGTTCTTTACATTCCAAATTCTAGAATGAGAGGCATTTTGAGACTTCGCTTACATGTATCTTTAATGCAACAGCTACAGATGTAGCGGGAGAAGTGGTAGATGTTGGGTCTGGAGTCAAGGATCTCAAAGCTGGTGACAAAGTTGTAGCCATGCTTGGCTTTTCTGTGAGCTCCTCAACACTTCTTTTCTCTATTTGTACCTGTAACTCTGTGTGTGTTGGCCTGTTGGGGAGGGCATGAATTTGGGTCGGTCAGGAGCCACTGCTACTAGCTACATAGTTCACATCACACCTAGTTTGGAATCCCATAGAGTTTCCAGTTAAATGAATCCCAACATCGAACTTAATTAATTATCCTCCTAGGGCTAAATTATATTTATAGTTCAACGTAAATTAAAAGTGGTGAAAAAAATATTTCATCTACTTTTTTACCACTTCAATGGTGAAAACTTCAATTTCTACCATTCTTCATTTTTTCTGAAAATAAAAGGAAGGTAAATTGCATAATTTACACAAATCTCAGACTAGTAAATTCCATCATAAACTGCTGGTTTTGCACCTCGAGAAAATAACTTAAGTTCCATATTTGACATTTAAAATGACTTTTGGGGCTCAAGGGAACGGGCTTCCTTATCTTGGGAAAATGATCTCTCACACATCTGGGGATTGTCTAAACTTAATGGAATTTCATTGATTCTTATGGGACTGCATGCTTAATTACATATAGGTCTCTTATGTGTGAGAGAAAGCATTAGCATTCTTAATGTGGTACATTTATTGTTGAATTGCAGGTTGGAGGTGGTCTAGCTGATTTTGTTGTGGCTCACAAGACCTTGACAGCAAAGAGGGCTCCGGAAGTGACAGCAGCTGAAGCTGCAGGCCTACCCATGGCTGCCCTTACCGCACACCAGGCCCTCACCATCTGTGCCGGGATCAAGCTTGATGGCAACAGCAGTGGCAAACCAGCAAACATTCTAGTCACTGCTGCCTCAGGTGGTGTAGGCCACTATGCTGTTCAGCTGGCAAAGCTTGGGAATGCACATGTCACAGCAACTTGTGGGGCTCGAAACATTGAGCTGATCAAAAGCTTAGGAGCAGATGAAGTTCTCGACTATAAAACCGCAGATGGGGCAGCATTGAGGAGCCCTTCTGGTAGGAAATATGAAGCAGTAATCCACTGTGCAACAGGTATTCCTTGGTCTACCTTTGAGCCGAATTTGAGCGACAATGGGAAGGTTATAGATCTCACTCCTGGCCCTAGTGCTCTGCTGACCTTTGTGTTCAAGAGGCTGACCTTCTCCAAGAAGCAGCTTATCCCAATGTTTGTATGTGCCAAGAAAGAAAACTTGGAGTTTTTGGTTGGTCTGATGAAGGAAGGGAAGCTTAAGACACTGGTGGACTCCAAATATCCACTGAGTAATGCTGAAGATGCTTTGGCTAAGTGTATTGATGGCCATGCTACTGGAAAGATCATCTTGGAGCCATAAGTTGGACCCTTGTGTTCACGCTTCTTTGGCAATTATTTTCTTTCTAGATTATCCTGGGGCCTAAATGGAAAATGTTCAGTGTTTCAAATAAGTTAATTATCCAGTAAGAATTAAAATACTCACTAGTGGAGCTTAATGGGGTTCATTTGTAAATGCTGCAATAGATAACTAATGTAGGTGTTTGGCATTGGTGTTGGGAACACCACACCGTTTTCTCATAAAAGCGATATTGGGCATGTGTGAGTTGTAAGTGCTTATTTTTTGCTTGGAAACGGTGCTGCCACATAGGTTGTTTTCTAGGAAAATAGCACTGATTTTGTTTGGTACCAGTGTTGTAGAACCGTTTTCAGCATTGGTCATATTATCCAACATCCAAGGTGATGCCACATCATTGCACCACTGGCAGCAACGAGCTTTTTTCTAAGAAAACATTGAATTTTGCATTGCTTCATACCACACTTTTTCAGAAAATGGCATCGATTCCAAACACTCACAATATCGCTTGGAGTGCGTTTTCTATTTCACGTACGCTTTAATGCTTAATGCCCTCGATTGCATTTTCATCATTTTTTTTATTGAAGACAAATGTAAAAGGAATAAGTACATCAAAGACAAGACCTCCCTTTTTTTTTTTTGATAAAATGAAAGGGGTTACAACAAGACCAGGGGTAGCACGTCCCCAAATATCACAAAAACAAATGAAAACTACGTCTCATTGAAGATCATTAAAAGATAAAGATCAATGACTAACTACCTGATGAGTTAACCAATCTGCCACTTGATTAGCTTTACAATAAACATGACAGTACTTGATATTATGATTCATTTGCACACCAAGACGATGCCACTCCTCAATGATGTTCCTTAATCTCCACAGAGGATTTACCTTTTAAAGCAAACAATTAACGACAAGCTTGGAATCTCCCTCAATGGTAAGAGGCAAATAATGAAAGATGAGAGCAACCTTGTAAGCTTCCCAAGAAGCCCACGCTTCGGCAAGGTTAACAAAAGTTACACCAACAGAATATGCCTTTAAATTTAGAACCCTACCAAAATGGTCCCTTGCAATGCATACCATAGAGTAGAACCCATTTAGCCCACATAAGGCATCAAAATTAATTTTAATAATCCCCTCCTGTGAATTTTTCCACCGAATAGGTACCCATTCTTTATCAAGAGTATTCACAGAAGCATGATCTTCACCCAACCAAACTTTTATATCCATCACGAAATTAAGAGCTCTATCAATTAGTATATGTGGGGGTAACAAATTATTATTGAAGATTTTTTCATTTCAATTTTCCGAAGGAACCACAATGTTGAGAGATATATTACATTTGGTTGTATTTGGGTTGTTGGAGGTTATAGGGGTATATTTGTAATATTAATAAATTACGGAGACCTATATGTACTTGTGGAAAAAGGGATTTCTATGTAATTCTAATATATTTCGATCTATTGCTTATTTAAGCTAGTGGTTGTGTGAGATTAGGGTTTGAGGAAGAGTAAGTGAGAGTGAGAGTGAGAGTGAGAGTGAGAGAGAGAGAGAGAGAGAGAGTTGTATCTGTCGTTCTCATAGTGGACATTTTTCCTCTCCTCCCATGGATGTCGGCTACCAAGCCGAACCACATTAAATCTTAGTGTTTTCTCTATTTCTTCTTATTTTCTCCTTGATTTGCTATTCTATTTTATGTTAGTTGACATGGTATCAAAGTGGGTTGTTCTATAATCTGTGTTTACTCCATTCTCTCTCATGAATCTCTTAAGAACTACTGATTTTTTGGTGCTAGAGATGTAAAGGTCTAGTACGATTTCCTCTCAAAGTTGATCTATAGGGTTTCATTTTTGAAGGTTAATACTCACTGGTACAAGGGATCGGACCAATTTTAGTCTTCTATTTTATGATTAGTGATGGTTTTTTATCACAACTATTGTGAAGGTGTTTCAGTCGCTATGAAGAGTTTAACAGTGGTATGTAAAGTGATTTTGTGAGATTTAAAGGCGTTCCAGTTGTTGTTACTTCATGTTTAGTTAAGGTAGTAGTCGATTATTACAAAATCCCTTCATGTAATAGTCGACTACTAGCCTTAGGTTAAAGTTGTGATGCAGTATAGGAGAAGGCCAATAAGTTCTATGCAAATTGGGACCATTCCAAGACACATAAGAAGCTTGGATGACATCACTAATGCAACTGAGTAATCAATTACCAAATTAGCATCAGTGCGGAACTTCTATTTTGGTTCGAATTTACCATGTTAGCACCAACATGGAATTTCCACCTTAGTTAGAATTTACCAAGATAGTGTCAGCACAAAATTTCCATCTTAGTTCGAATTTACCAAGATAGTGCCAACACAAAATTTCTATCTTAGTTCGAATTTACCAAGTTAGTGTCAGCACAAGACTTTTATTCTAGATCATGATTTTTGAATTATTGTTCAATTAGGACATTCTTTTTCATTATGGAGTGTTTTCATAGATTAGGAAACTTTTTTGTAAGAGCCATAAGGGTGTAAGTCTCTATAAAGAGTAGCTAGGGGAAGGCTAAAACAGTTCTTGATATTGAATTTTCTCTTAATTATTCAGTAAAGAATTCTTCTTCTTGGTAATTCAACTTTTGCTCTTTTCTTTGAAGCTTTTCTCAATGTGTTTTGTTTTCGTATTGCGCCATTTGGTATCAAAGCTCATGTTTGATCCTTCTTCGGATTATGTCTCCTAAGAAGAAACAAGTAGCTCACATCATGAAGCAGGAACCTAACAACAAAATGCAAGGAGAGATAGCGGAGCTGGGAAGACAAGTCAAAGCACTTGCTCAGGGGTTGAAATCGTTGTGAGGGGACAACGACTCCGACGCAAGTATATCCACATGTTCCTTTTCATCATTAAGGCAAGAAACCAGATCAGCTATAGTTGCGGGGGGTGATCAGAGACAGTGGAAAGAAGATCTCAAGGTTGAGATCCCAGAATTACAGGGAGGCATGACTTAATAAGAATTCATGGATTGGCTCTTTGTGCTAGAAGAAGTCCTTGAATTTAAGCAAGTTTCGGAAAATAAGGTCGGGTTCTTAATAACCACTCGGTTTAGAGGACGAGCAACAGCATGGCGGCATCAATTGAAGGTTATGTGACAGAGAAGAGGCAAGAAAAAGATTAAGACATGGGAGAAATTCAAGGCAAAGATGAGGTCAGAATTTCTACCCCATAATTATATTCATTTACTTTATCAAGAATTGCAAAATCTAAAGCAAGGAACTGATACAGTAGATGAGTATACAAAAAAGTTTCATTTGTTAGTGGCTTGGAATGAGTTAGCTTAAATTGAAGATCAATTAGTGGCTAGGTATATAGGTGGGTTGAGACCAAATACCCAAGATATATTATACCTATTTGACAGATATGATGTTTCTATGGCACATCAACATGCTCTAACCATAGAAAAGCAAAGAAGCCGACCTAACCAATTGGGTAAAACCCAAACTGATGTGGCCAATCCACCCCTACATATTAATCCCAACCCGCCTCTAAATTCAACTACTCAGTCGCGGTCCCGTGGGATGAACCAAAACCAAGGACATGAGACTAATCAAAACCAAGTGGGTCCACCTGGACTGAAGTGTTTTAAGTGTGGTGAACTAGGCCATAAATTTGTTGAATGTGTGAGGGGTGATAAAAGAAAAGGGACAATGTTTGTAGAAGATGAGAGTGAAACCTAGTTAGAAGCATTTGGTTATTCAACCTCACCTGTGCTTGACCCTTATGATGAAGAAACCTTAGAGGGAGAAATGGTGTACAGGGATGTGGGAGAGGCCCTGGTGATGCAACGATCATTCCTAACTCCTAGGGATGAACCATCAGATTAGTTAAGAAATAATATTTTCCACACCACTTGTACTATGGGTGGAAGGTTGTAAGCCTTGTAATTGATAGCGGGAGTTGTGAGGATGTTATAGTGGAAGTAGCCGTCTGCAAGTTGAACCTAAAAACTCAACAACACCCTCACCCCTACAAGCTTGCATGGCTAAAAAGAAATAATGAGGTTTCAGTCACACAACGATGTCTAGTGAGTTTTTCTATTGGCAATAATTATAGTGATCGTGTGTGGTGTGGTGTTGTATGCATGAATGCTTGCCATTTGCTACTTGGGTGTCTGTGGCAATTTGACCGCTACATAGTCCATGACGGACGAAATAGCACCTACTCTTTTGAATTTAAAGGGAAAATGCTAACCTTATGTACACAAGAGACTATACCTAAACTGAAACCCGATGAGGGTTCTGGCCTTTTTGTCATGACTGAATTCACAAGTGCATTAAAGGAGATGGGTTTGCATATGCTTTAATTGACAAGGGGTTTGAGCTGAAAGGTGTGAGGTTCCGAAGGAGGTGTGGCCATTCTCCTTAACAATATCTCTTGAAGAGAAACTTGTTGATTGGAACAAACCTCCAATCTATGATGAAGATCCAATTATGCCATCATTCATTATGAATTTCAATATGATGGAAATAATACTTATCATCTTGGGGATTATAATCACATTGTATACATGCATGTGTATGAAGATCCTTATTGGTAAGCACTCTTGCAATGTTCAAAAGGGTCAATAAAAGAAGATTCAGGTTCTGTCAAGTGCAAGAAATATACTTCAAAATTTAAGATATACAACAAAAAAATCTCAATTTGTATTGGAGGCTTACATCACCAATTATCTATCAAAGGGATAGAAATAAAGAAGCATAGTGGAAGTACAACAACATATGTTGGCAGCCTCTTAAATGGTAACATGAATCTGAGGTTTGATTCTCTCCAACCTAGGGAGAATGATGTAGTATAGGATTCGGACCAACTGAGTAAACATTTACAAAGTCGATTTTTGAAGACCCATCTTAGTACATATAGGAGGAAAATAGTATTTGATGCAGAAGGCTATGTTTAGGCTATTTTAACAGAGGAACGCCTACCGGTTAGGCAGCGTGGAAAGCTAGCACCAAGGAAGGTTGGACTATACGAGATAGTTGAAATCATCAATGAGAATGCTTATAGACTAAAACTACCCACCCATATACATACCTATGATGTTTTCATTGTCAAACACTTGGTACCATATGTTGATGATCAGTTAGATGATGATTTGAATCTGAGGATGGATTCTCCCC